ACGAGGCAGCCAGGACATCAGTAAAGTACAGGATGGGAAGCTGCAAATTAAGATAAAAATCCAGACTACATAGACCCTACTTGTGGACAACTCCAGAGTCTCCTTCCCTTTCACCTCCTTACCCATCGATTGTCCTCAACTATTTGGAAATGTCTAGGCAATTAAAAGAATTGGCTTTGGTAGCCTGAGTTCCTGATAGCACTGACAAAATCATGGTGATCTAGCCTTCCATCTTAGCTTTCTGATATAGCCTCTCCCTTACCACCTTCACCAAACACCCCCCCCACACACACATACACCCTCCAACCTTGAAAGTTTGGAAGCACTACTGCTTACAAATGGGACCATTAAAAGCAGATAAATCAATGGGAAATGCATCAAAAGTCTCATTTATCATAAGACATGTTGGACAGAGTTTTGAGTTTTTTCCATACATTTGTTTTAGAAATCTGTTTATCTGTGCAACATTTCTGAACAAAATACTCTGTGATGAACCAGTCTCTCTACTTGAATCTATACGGAAAGCAATTAAATTCAAACCCCAAAGACAAAACAGGATGAACGTCACAGCCATGGTACTGATGCGGCATTTCATGACTGCCCTTCTCCCTCTTGCAGATCAGCCCCTCCATAGGCGCTACAAGGCAGATGCCCCCTACTCTTAGAAAACGTGTTTCTCATGCTTCAGCCAAGGCAAATTCCCCGACTCTTCCCTGAAAGCTGCAGATGATGTGAGGCTGGCAAAATGTCTGAAGGTGGTTAGAAGAGCTGTCCCTGGAGTGAATGACCTTCCTCAGTCCTGTCAGCACATGAGACCAGTGCTAAAGATGTTACACATACACCAGCTCCCCAGTCTGCACCTGTTCGTAGTGGAAGAGGCATGGGTGTGAGTATTTGCGTGAGGTAAGCTACAGGAAAAATGAGGAAGCCATTCTACTCTGTCTGTGTCATAGAGAAAGTTCCCTCAGAGCGAGCACCATGTCTCATGCATTTTTGTATTCTCAGCTCCTAGTAGGTAGTGGGTATGTGTGGAAGCTGAGAGCGGGCAAGAACTCTCTCTGTGCAAAGTAGTTTCTTAAAAAATAGTCAACAAACGCAACTATTGAATGACAAAATCTGCACCTATAAAACAATAGACCTTAGCCCAGCCCACAGACCATTCCAGGCATGCTCATGGTTTGGAGTGAGAGCTACGTGGGCTCCTTGGTCAAGAGTGGTCAATGCTCAATAAGAGCATTATTGATTACAGTCAGTGTGCTCAGATCAACGTCCAAGGCCAGGCTGCAGTTGCATAGCGCCCCCTAGTCCCAAATATATGGATAGGTTTCAGATAGTCAGTGAATGGAACTGACCAGTCTAACAGACTCTACTGGGAGTTTGCCTCGTATGCACTTTATTTCATGTTAGGTTGATCCTCCTAGAAAATCCCTCCCCGCGAGAAGAAGAGGATGAGCTTAAAGTCAAGAATTCTCTTAGAAGCACTCTGACAGCTTCACTTCAGCATTTCTACACAAGTGCCCAGGAATACACCCAGCAGCTTTACCCCTGAGGGCACGCCAATAGTGTGTGTTATAAAGTCCTGCAGATAAGGATTTATTGGAACAGAATCAAGTGACAGACTTGGAACTAAGGCATCACAGACGAAGAAGACCCTGAGGTTCTGGGGAGATGTTGACTTTTATCAAGGTCAACACTGAGATTTATTGACCCAGGAGGTAAATATTAATGGAGGCTCAGGAGGTCAATATTTGCCCCAAGGAAAGATAAATCTTCCTAGTGCCCCCCAAACTGAGATCTGTATTCAGTAGATTCAGTTCCAAAATGAATTAGCTGCGACATAGATTAGACACCATTTCATTAGACTGTCTAGGGCACTGGAAAGCAATATTAATACTAAGCACTCATGTTCAAAGTACTTTCCAAACATTCATTAAAGTGCACCATCTTCTGCCAGATGTATAAGCATCTTGTTCTCCCAACTCAACAGATGGATCATTAAAGCCAAGAAAAGGTTAAATAATTTTACTTAGGCTACAGAATAAACAGCACAAGAATGAGAAGATCAATGGGGATAAGGGCAGGCTGGGAGTTCTGGGGGAGGCTAGCAAAGATCTATAGGAGAGTGCCTTCATTAAGGTTCCCCATAATATCGTAAGTCCACTTGATTTCATTTCTTCAATTCAGGTAACTTATTTCCCACGGTTGACAAATCTACTTGGGCTGATCCACTGTATTGCTTATTTACAGGGATGATTTTAGGTATTTACATATCATAAGCTCTAGTCTTTGAACATTGGTACTTAACGCTTAAGAGGAGTCCATTGGTGGTCACTGGGAGGGAACAGATTTGTGGACTATTCTTCTATTTGTACAATAGTTATCATTAGATTCCAATTCTCCAGACTTCCTTGACTTTCACAGGAGGGCCCTGAGATGCTGGGACTGAGAAACATCATAAAACACGAGCATGCAAGTAATTGCATTTGAACACATGGATCCAATTATCCTTTCTTTTGTACTGTCTCAAAAGTGAATTTTAAACATTATAAACTTTTGATTATCTTTGCTAATGGAGAGGACAGAGACTTAGATCCTTTAAAATACCAGCCTACCCAACAATCTTATCTCCTTCTGACTTTGGAATGTATTATTTTCCCGTGTATCATGTTGGCCTCATTCCGTTTTCCTCTGGATATTTAACACAAGGAAATAATGAGCAATTCCAGAGCCAAGGAAAGGAAATGAAATGAAAGTCAGAGAAGCGACAGCATGTGACATGTTCTGGGTATCAAGACAGCAGCCTTGATGAGGTGCTTTGTGTAATCCACAGACAGCTACTTGAGTTGATGGGGCTCAACTTCTCGAATGTTGAATTTTCAAAGTTATTTCAATCGCCTTTAAATCTGTTGGAGGGAAAGAGTGGGGTCTTAATAGCATGCCCCTTCCATTCACTTGGAAAGGAAACAATTTGACTTGAAGAGATACAAACGGTTAGCTGATGCCAGAGTCTGAAAAAAGAACGAGGAGTCCTGACCTCCAGCAGTTAAGGTACATCGTGGTTTTATCCTGCAATAGGATTTTGGAATTACTCGGGGAGGTAAGTGATACCAATATGATTTGATACTGTTACAAAAGGGTAATTTGATGGACAGGATGGTACAGACAAACGGGAGTGTTTACAGGGTTTAATATTTAATAATGTAAAATGAAAACGCCAGCAAGAGCAGACAAGAGATGAAAAGATCTGTAGCAAGTCAGAATCTCCACCGATTGTCAGAGCGGCATGCATCTCCTGGAGGTCTGGATAAGCAAGGCACTGTTCTGCAGAAATTGTTATTTTGGGTGTATTGATTGTGTGTGCTCCAGTCAAGCCGTCAGCTTCTCCCTCCTCCTGTCTTTATTTTATTTTTTATTTTGAACATCACAGCATCCTACTAAACCTTCCCGACTGCTTGGCCTTCAGACCCGAGGCCGCGGGGCTGTGGAGTGTTTGGTGGAGGAGACCCGGCATGGGTCATGCTAGCTTTGTCTACTAGGGGCAGCTCGGCGATCCTCCTCTCGGGTCCACTCGTGGGCTCCCTGCCCAGGTGCTTGTGTGTCTGGAGTCCAGAGGCATGCCACAGACCCTTCTGGTAATGAGCTCAGATGAGACACTGACCAACTTGCTCCTGTACACAGCACTTAGCGCTCTGTGACCAGTTGCTTCACATGCAAACACCTCAGCCTTCTCATCTGTGAAATGGGAATAATACCTACCTGACAGAACTGTCTGGAAGATTAAATGAGATAATAAACTGAAAACACTTGGCACGCTTCCTGGCACAGAGCGATTACTCAGTGAGTGGCAACTGCTATTATTAATGCTCTCCCCAGAAACCTGTGGATTAAATAAGGGAGTGTCTGGATTCCAGAACACCCAGCCCTAAACCTAGCATCCTGGAATTTCTGAGCTGCAACGGCCCTCGAGAGGCTACTTCATCCTTCCACCTGCCCTCCCATCAGCCCAGACAGCTGATAATCTTAGTTATTTATTTTTTTTAATATATTTTATTTATTTATTTATTTTTATAATCTAGTTATTTTTAAAAGACCATTAAAAAGGTTCTGACGCTCTCTCTGACCTGGAGCCCAGTGTCTACACAACCCTTTGGCTGCCTGAATAACTCACACACCTCTTGACCTATTCTGGGGAGAAGAGCAGGTAGAGAGAGGAGGCTGGGGCACCTCATTCAGTCCCTCCTCCTGTGTCCGTAAAATGATTCCACTGCTATGAGCTGTTCCTCAGCAATTTTATTCCCCCCAATGCTCCTTTGCCATATCCACAGATGTCTGCAAAGAACATGGCAAGTTCTCCCTGCCCCTCAAGCCTTGAGCGCAGAGGGCTCTGTACTAACGAGGTCCAAGTCCTAATAGAGTGTGGCATCCCTTGGGACAAACCTGGCCGAGGGCCTCCCTCCAAACTTTCACATCAGGGGCCACCTTGCAATAATAATGATGATAAAATTTACCTTCACAGTGACTTTTTTTATATCGAAAATCTGCTACATCTCACTGGATCTCCACGACCACCCACCGTGGAGATGAGGAAGCAGGTGTCGAGAAGAGCCAGAGGATTTGGTCAGGGTCCTAGCCTTAGAACGGAGAGGTGGTCACTTAACCCTAAGTCTTCCAAGGCCAAGGCCTGGGCTCCTTCCTTCATCACACAGCAAATGAAAATGACAGCACTTCTCAACTGGGGGCGACACCCCCTCCTTCCCCAGGGACATTGGTTAATGTCTGGACACATTTTTGTTTGTCACAAGTTGGGGAGGAGGGCATCTACTGGCTACTGGCATCTAGTGAGTTGAGGCCAAAGATGTTGTGAAACACCACATTGCACGAGACAGCCCCAACCAAGAATTACCCAGCCCAAACATATCAGCAGTGCCAAGGTTGAGAAACCCTACCCTAGACTCATCATAAGGGGGCAAAGAGCAGAGTCCAGTGACCTGTCAGCCCAGTCCTGCTCCCCTGACTGCCCTGTTGGGGTCTCCTGCTCTCCCCAAAGAAACTTCACAGACGTCGGCAAAAGACTCAGGGCTGCTCAGAAGAAAGTTAATAGCCAAACGAGGAGTTGCTGGATTTTATAAAGCCGATGGTAAAGTTATTTTCATTTTGCTTTTTAAATTAGTTAGGGAGTTGGTGTTCTTCTTTACATAATTACAAGCTGACAAACATGGATCTGTATTTTTTTTAATTAACAGATATTTGTATTCCAGTTCTCCAAATTACATACCACAGCTTGCACATTTCAGGACAGCTGCCGAGTTCCAGATGTGGGCAATAACCAGAACACGGTAATGGCAAAATGCAAAAGGAAGAAAGGAAAAAAGAAGAAAAAGTTAATGTCTCTGGATGGAGAGGAGCAATTTCGGTCCATGTGTTTGGGATTTTTTTTTATGGAGATGAATACCTTCGATTCTCTCAAATTTTCAGCTCAGTTTGAACATTTGGGACGAAGCCATCTGGGTCACTCAGTGCTGCCATCAAAGCCTCACCAGTGCCTTGTAAAAGCAGATTACAGATGAAATGGGGCGCATATAAATGTTAACCGTGTGCCGGAGAAACTACTCAAATTGCTCCGGTTTACAAGGACCCTATTAAATGCGCTAAGCTCCTCCCGAAGAAAGCTGCTCGATGGCGGGTAAGCGGCCATATTTATTATTTAGTCCATTTATAAGACTGCACCCCTTTACTCACTTTATCCTAGGAGAAGGCTTGCGGGAGCCCACGAATCAGGAATTGGGCACACTAGGACCTTGCACCTAGAAATGGGGCAAGCCCGCTGTGTGACTCTGGGAAAGGAGATGCACCTCTCTGGGACTCCATTCCCTCCTCTGTCAAGAGAGGGGTGCTGCTGGACAATCTCTGCGGTCCCTTCAGCTCTAACGAGTGATGATCAGATTTTTTTTTCTTTTTTTTAAAGATTTTTATTTAGGGGCGCCTGGGTGGCTCAGTCGTTAAGCGTCTGCCTTCGGCTCAGGTCATGATCCCAGGGTCCTGGGATTGAGTCCCACATCGGGCTCCCTGCTCGGCGGGAAGCCTGCTTCTCCTCCCTCTCCCACTCCCCCTGCTTGTGTTCCCTCTCTCGCTGTGTATCTCTCTGTCAAATAAATAAATAAAAAAATCTTAAAAAAAAAAAAGATTTTTATTTATTTATTTGAGAGAGAGAATGAGATAGAGAGAGCATGAGGGGGGGAGGGTCAGAGGGAGAAGCAGACCCCCTGCTGAGCAGGGAGCCCGATGCGGGACTCGATCCCGGGACTCCAGGATCATGACCTGAGCCGAAGGCAGTCGCTTAACCGACTGAGCCACCCAGGCGCCCGATTAGATGTGTTTTTTGACAGTCTTATCAGATCCAAAAAAACCCTGCCTTATCCTTGAATTGACGTCTGGAGGGAGGGTTGTATCTGAGGACCAGTGCTCTGTGTCCCACGCATCAGAGAACCAGGCTCACAGCACAGCCAACCTCTGCTGGACAGAAGAGGGCATGCAGGGGCCAAGTAAAGCCACCTCTAAATGCTGGAAAACAGGCTGGGGGCAAAAGGGTCAGGAGACATCGCTGTGGTCAAGGGAGATTCATTTCATTCACTCATTCAGTAAACACTTGCCGAGTGCCTCCCACGGGCAGCGGGAATGGAGAGAGAAGACAGCTTTCTATCTTTAGAAACACTAGTCCTCCAGGGAGAGGAGGCTGTCCACCAGGGCAAGTACTTCAGTGTGGTGTTGGGAGCACTAAGATGGAGGGCAGCATGGGTGCTCTGGGGACTCCCAGAAAGAATAAAAGAAATCTATTGAGGAGCTGACACCTAAGCAGAGTCTGGAAGAATGAGTAGGTGTGAACCAGGGCAGAGGGAGTAAGAACATCTTGTCAGGATTGTGGGGCTGTGGGGAGGGGGATGATGCAACATGGCGTTCGAGGCACTGCAAACAATCCCGTAGTAGAATACAGAGTTGTCCACCGTGGCAAATCCCACCCAAGGGAATAAAGAGAAGAAAGATCTTTATGTAGAGAAAGAATCTTCAATTAAATGTGACGGTGGCCTTGAGGGTCTTTCATACCATTGATGGTATAAGGTTAATTCAAGTTCACTGAGGAAGAGACATGGAGACATGAAATCCCTGACAAGGCTCATTTTTGTGGACCTACTCAAAGTTGGATATGAGTTCTTTCCAGGATTCTCTTGTTGGGTGGAGGATAGAGGCAGCAGGAGAGCATTCCTGAGTCTTCTCCTCTTCTACCTTCTCCCTACTATCGACTGCCCAGGGACTGCGAAACGCTGGGGTCCAAATACATACACAAAATAACTTTGGAGGGCTGGCATTCAATTCCAACAACACCAACGAGGGGAAACAAAGAGAGTTTGTGTCAACGTGATGGATGTAAGACTCTACCTGAGTCAGGACAACACAGTACAAAAGAAAAGCTGGCTGAAAAGAGCCTCCTTTTACCCATGTCCCAGATAGCCAAGCTGCCCCAGCTTGAGACTGCCACCGGGGATGGGACACGGAAGACACCTTCTATAGTCCATCCACCATCACCCTTGTGCCCTCAGGGATACTATGCATTTGAAAAGTCCTCTCTTCTTCCCGGTTTTCACTCTTCACAGCCCAATTAATTCCACTTGGGTCACTGTGTTTTCCATATTTACACACATTTCTCTTTAGTTCCTTTTTTATGTTTCTTAATTCCCTGGGAAAGCCTCTCCTTTTTTCTTTTTTCTTCCCCTTGCTTCTGTTCTCTCAGATTGTCTTTATTAAACAGCATTCTAATGATTACAGACAGATACGTATAAAGCTAAGGGATAGGGCTCTATCAATTAAACAGAAAACCATAGGCTTGAAGCAAAACCGGACCATACCATCAATCTTTAAGACCCTTAAAAATGTGCCCAGTCAAGCTCTCAAGAGGGTCCAGAAACGTCATATCATAGGTATTGCACCAATCTATTGTCATATAACAAAATCTGATTTTTATTAAATACCAAATTACACAGTTTTTGAGTTTATCTTTGCTTATTCAATTACTGAACTGTAAATGAGTTTACTGATAATGTGACAGGAGCGTTTTCTATTTTATTTAAGATTACAAACATACAGCATTTCAACCACATTCCTACTTAGGTAAAAATCTGTGGACTAGTGAAGGAATCCAGTTTAATTTAGAACACTGTTTCCCCGAAAACAATGTTTGCTGAGTTCCAAGTAAGTGATATCTAAGGAACTGTAGAAACGCTTGCGCATTAGAATCCAATGAGTATCTAGTAGGTGTCTACACAGTGATGGAAGGACACACAGACACCGTGGTGGTGCTGTGGCCTCTACCCAGGCTTCGAGGCTCCCTCACCTCCTTCACTTCCAGTGGCTGTGAAAGGCTCAGGCAGTCTTAGGATTTGAAATATTAAACAGATAATGCTTTACAATTTTTCTTTATTGTTTATCCCCCAAACACAACAGCCTTTGCCTTCCTTTGTATCTCTTCATTGTCATCTCCCTCTAAGAAGCAGATTCTTATTTACGTGGTATTTGACTCTTTATGAGCTGAATGTATAATCTACGTTTCTGGTGACATAAATCCCAGAAACAAAACTGAATAAACATCATGAAAAGTACACTATTTACACTGTTTGGGGGAAGTTAAGTCATTAGTGAAAAATCATCAAGGTGTGTTTCTGATTCTTGAATGAAAGGGGTGGCAGAGGCAACCCATTCAGCGTCCCACTTTCCCCAGCTATACCTCGAGAATAATGATCTTTATCTGAAAGATTGTAATCATTACAAATGGCTTGGAAACTCTCAAGAGATAACAGCTAGACAGGAAAGTGAGAGTCAGAAGCCACTGGGAGCTGGACAGGCTTTTTCTGTTCTGCTCTGGGTGTTGTCTTTCCATGATGTCATTTGACCTTTGGCATATCACTGAGACTCTTTCTTTTTTGCACCCATAAAAATAGGATCACGTTACCTCAAGTCAGCAATCCTAGGAGGGGGAGTTACTGTAGTAAAAGCTCTCAACAGAACCATGGAAGTGAAAAAATATCATTCAGATTCTCTGCTTTGAACTCAACCGAAGGTGTTATGAAGGAAGGCACCCACCAATAAATGAACATCTCTAACCCAAATGAGCAAAGGGCACCGAGGGAGTCCTTCTGTATCTTTCCCTATGGTCCATCCTGTAAGGCTTGCAGGGAAGAGGCAGGGAAATCTTGTGATTTATTTCAAAAAGCTCTAATGATACACTTGCAGTGATCCTTCCAAATACGCCTGTTCTGTGTGACTTGGGCTCAGTACCTGTATAGACAGGATGGCCAGAAATGGAGCCCAGCAAATAAGAGCACCGTAAGAAAATTCAATCAGTCTAGGACAGACAGATTCGTGGTAGAGAATTTATACAACCCTTTCTCCAATTTATGATTATAAACCCACTGCATGGGAGTGACACCGAAACTAATCTGGTTTCTTTTGCTTGGAAAGTTCAGAAGTCCAAGTGAGTTAGAGTGTATGACACCTCATCTCCTTTTTCACTGAAACATATCACAGTGTGTAATTAATTTGCATGCATTTTCCTAGACCTGGGGATTGGGCAGAAAAGCCTTAGTAGAGAGGATTGTGCAAACATATTCCTTCACATGCTGTGTTTCCCCCCAAAGGTAAGAGTAAAAGCCCCATCGGATGTGCCTGTGGTGGATATTATTCTTTTTGTCTGCCCTTTCTGTACTGGGGAGAAATTCATGATTTTATGAGTCTCAGTGGGAAACAGAGGCTCCTTCCTGCTTCAGGTAGAAGTACAAAATTCCAGGTCCTGATTTTCCCTGCCTCCCTTGAAGCTAGAGGGCAGGACCAGGACATAGTCACTGCTCATCGGAGCAGCTTCCCAAACTCAGTCTCCCTGGATACTTAGTGATGCTAAGAAAAGGTCAGGCAGAGAATCCCTCCTCGCAGAGCTGGTCCCTGTGGCAAGACCCATGCAGGGTCTTGCGCTGGCAGGATGATTTAGGGTTTTGCTCAGACCACCTCAGGGCCTGATTCATCAGCTGTTCTGGCAATGATGTGACCTGCCCAATATCCCTGCCTGTTTCTATCAGCCAGACGGCTTCTGTTGCTTGCCACGAAGGCCCCGACGGATACGGTGTGAACATATCCTATCCACGCATGTCTGCACACACCACACCACATGCACCTTCTCTTCCTTGCCTACACATTGTTCTTTGCTTAAGTGGAAATAATGTTAGGCTACAGCTAGCTGAAAACAACTGCACAGCAGTGGGGGGTTAAAGGCCTTTCTTCATTTCCCCCCATCATCTTCATAAAAAGTGACAGAGAATAAGGAACAATATGCTATTCTGATTGAGCTGATAGCCTTAAATCTGCTCTCCCTTTCACTCAAACGGGACGCTGGCCAAAGTCAATGGGAAATATATTTGTATAACTAAGGGCAGAGCTGAACCCATACAGACTGGAGAACAATTTAGCATACAAACCTCTCCCACCGTCAATTTGAAGTTTTGAGGAAACAGAGGAAGAAAGGGAGTCCCGAGGCCAATCTCTGTCAGTGAGCGTGTGAGTCACAGGCTTCTGGGTAACAGGCTGAATGCCCCCTGGCATAAAAATCTGCTCATTTTTAGGGTGGGGGAGTCTTCTTAGAAATTCTACATCACCATGATTACTAGCCCCCCATTGCCAAGTT